CTTGTGAGCCGCTTTATGGAAGCTCCTACTACCTCCCATTTAAAGGTAGCAAAAAGAATACTTCGGTACATCAAAGATACACTTGATTATGGAATTCTTTATTCATCTTCTAAGGATTCTAAGTTTGTGGGATATTGTGATAGTGATTGGGCTGGTGATATTGATGATCGTAAAAGTACTACTGGGTTTGTTTTCTTTCTTGGAAATTCTGCATTTACATGGAATTCTAAAAAATAACCAATTGTTACTTTGTCAACTTGTGAGGCGGAGTATGTTGCAGCCTGCTCATGTGTTTGTCATGCAATTTGGTTAAGAAGTTTGTTGGAGGAACTTCACCAACCACAAAAGGATGCCACAAAGATTTTTGTTGACAACAAGTCGGCTATTGAGTTAGCCAAAAATCCTGTATTTCATGAAAGGAGCAAGCATATAGATACAAGGTATCACTTTATTAGAGATTGTATATCTAATAAAGTTGTGGAGCTTGAGCATGTGAAGTCGCAAGATCAAATTGCGGATATTTTCACCAAGCCATTAAAGATTGAAGTTTTTCAAAAGCTAAGAATGGCGCTTGGAGTGATGAAACAAGTTTAAGGGGGGATGTTAAAATTATAATAAACTTGTTTCCATTAGTTCACATTTATATTAAATATGTTTAGATTAGTTCATATTAGTATGAGATGTATGAACAAGTGTAGACTAATGTGGACTTTATTATGAGATGTATGAACTAGTGTAGACTAATGTGAATTTAGTTAGTGTGTTTACATGAAGTTTAGGCTAGATACATGTAGGAGTTCTACTATAAATACCCATGTATGCTAGCCATTTGGAACAAGTTAAGTTGAATGAAAAATATCATTTCTTCTCCATTCTTAAAGTGAGTTGTGAGTGTTTGAGTGTTTTGTTGTCTTGCTCTCCCAAATTATTTTTTTTCCAACAGTTGGATCGATTTTATCAACTTGTTGCTCTATTTCTTGTCTTTTCTTATGAGTGAAGTACTAATTCATTGTTGTAGACAAGTAAATGTGTGTCATAATCTGCAAAACCACATCTGCTCCTTAAGTCTTAAGACTATAAGTGAAGAGAAGAGAAAAAAGAGTATAAATTTCTAACACATCACTTGTATACGTGAAAAGTATAGGAATGGCAGGAGTAGAGGGATTAGTGGCGTTGGTGAAAAGGCCATGGCACTTGCTCTACGCATGGAGCGTCCATCCACTATCCATTTAGCATTTGACTTCCACCACGTAGATTTGCACTCTATACGCTGGAACAATTCATTGCGAGTACCAAAGTAAAATAAAAGATAAAATTAAGGTCTAGTCATCTCCAGAGATTTTTCAGAATGTGAATGTCTTGAAATCTAGAAAAATCAAACTTGAGAGTCAATGATATAACAAATAATGAGAATTATGAAAATTTGCTATGGAAGATGTGATACACGAATAGGAATAATTCCAAGAAGTTAATTAGTTCTTGAATTTTGAAAGTGTAATACATGTATAAGGATTTGACAAGTACTCAGCTCTAAAAAATATGACGTTAACTAAATGCAATATGTACATAATTAGTTATTTGAAAACTCTATACATTAGATCTCAAGAGAAACTTTATAGTTTACTTCTTGTAAGGTTGAAGGGATAATTTTGTTATTAAAGGGATTGACATGTCTCCTCTATCCTCTTTACGCCTCCATACATTGCTTGTGTTGGGAATTCCTCTCATTTGAGAAAAATTGGATGGAAAAGGACGACATATAATTTTTAATGAGACTGATAGTAATCCGTGGCAACTCCAGTCTCCATATGCGGAAAGGTGCGACTGTCAATGGGTAAGTTCGCATAACCGCTGCAATTTGTTTTTTTTTTTTTTCTTTTGTGTTTGTTTTAAATTTTAGGTTATTTAAAAGGGTAATTTAGTCTTTTGACTTTTTAGTTTAGGGCTCTACTAGAATGTAAAGGTAAAGAACTATATTAAAAGTGCAAACTATTAACATTTACCATTAAATTTTTGAAACTTTGTATAAAAATATACATATATATAGGTGTAATAATAAATTTGAAATAGGTAGTTGGTTTTGTTCGGTTTTTTTTTTCTGATTAAAACCAAAGCCAAACCAAATTTGATCGGTTTTTAAAATTCAAAACCAAAACCAAACCAAACCAAAAAGTATCAGTTTTTTTGGTCGGTTTGGTTTGGTTTTCGGTTTGGATCGATTTTTCGAGTTTTTATGAACACCCCTATATACTAAACTACTGGTGATGAATTCTTCCAATATCTTTTACCAAAATACCTAAAAACAACACAAATACTTTCACTCATTAGCAAAAGTTATGAAAAAATCACATAAAATTGAATCTTTAACTAATTTAAAAAGAAACTAACTTGCTGAACTTGATACGGAACCTCTTGCCAATCCGGAATGGGAGAAACTCGGAAGCTAAAGAACCAAAAAATTGGATCTATGAGAGAAATGATTCAAAGGGGCTTTAACAATTTGAAGAGACTTTAAGAGCTGCGATGAAATTTCTAAAAAGGAATGAGAAAAGAATTGATCAATGGGAATTAATAAGAGAAGGTAAGCTAAAAAGGCTACAATTTATTACTGATAAAAAGTAAGATAAAATTCACACATTACATGAAAAGGCTACACGACATACTAAACATATCAAAATATTGGGAGTAGTTATAGAAGATGAAAAGCTCTTCCATTTAAGTAGTAATCTAACATTAAGTAGCTCAAATTAATTATTTAATGGGAGGTAATTTTACTTTCAGATAGAGGTTAAATTAGTCGTTTAAATTTTGAAGGATATTTTAGTAAATCAACTTTACACTAAAGGGCTTCCCGCTTATATGATTTTTGATGATTGATGATGATCAGTTTAAGGATACTCTTATATCGCTAAAAGAGCAGAGAGTTAAATGGTGCAGTAGATACCTAAAAAATGAATCTTTAAGCAATAACAGAATATTGCCTTTTTATATCAGAAAAGACGACCAATGAAAGATGAAGTCATTCCCATGACCGGAGAAGGACAGAATATTGCCTTTTTTATCAGAACAAAAAATCAGAATATTGCTTTTTCAGAAGTTAACACAGGCGATCGAAAATTTGGTAGATTTGATTTTTTTTATTGGTGACTTGACCAGATGGACAGTTTAAGTTTGTACAAAATGATATCAGTTTTTTGTTATGGGTCAAAATCTGACCACACGTGGATGAGCACTAAAAGGAACGGTAAGGGGTCGACTAAGCCGTGGCCATACCCACAAGGCGTAATAACGATGAGTATCTCGGCCACTACCGAGATCGAGCCATCAGAAAACTTGTACGGCAAAGTAAATGTCGTGATACTTAGGGGAGCAACGGAAAGTGAGATCAGGAGAGGAAAGTCCTCTGGTTAAAGACCATTAGACAAAAGGGAATATTTATGATATATATAGGAGGAAGGAAGACAGGAAAAGGGGGTCTCTCTCCTACAGAGAAAAAAGGCAGAAGAACCAGAGAAAGCTATAGGAAAAAAACACGAGAAGTTGCATATCTTGGCGTAAATCTTTGTAATCGCCTTTCTTGAATCAATAAAGATAGATCTTGCAACAATCAATGGCATTCCCTCTGTTCCTCCTTTGTTTTTATATCACGGGACAATACATGATGGATGTTAGCATATTATTTATATTTAATATCTTCTATAAATCTTGAAAGTTCATGAGCTTGACTACATCTTATTCTCCTATCCAATATGCTTTGATGTTTAATCTAGAGTTAATTATTCTTGGCTAAGATTTATCCTCTATATTCTTATTCATTAGTTTAACAAAAAGCTTAATACTTTTTGGTCAAACAGTCCCCAATTGAAAGTCTAATTTAACTTTGCAAAAGTTAAAGTTGTTGGACTTTAAAGGCATTGGGCTTCAAAGACTTTAAGCATTGGGCTTTAAAGTCTAAGAGTGTGAATTGGAAATGGTGGAAAATAAAATGGAGGAAAATAAAATTTTGAATAAAGTGAGCTTTTGACTTGCACTTTGTCCCTCATTGGTGAGGGACAACTACATTTGTGTGCTTATATATAGAATCACTTCTTAAAGCTCTTAAAAGAAGGATCTCGTGGTGAGGGAACCCTAAAAAAGGATTTGGGCAAGGTCCCCGTGTCCCTGGAGATTGAGATCGTTCCTCTGCCTTCAACAGGTATACCCGAAGGGGAGAATGTGGAAACTCTCGAAGCAAATCAGAACGCCCCGAGTGAAGAGCTCGGGGCCATGACAACAGGTCACTCTCTTTCTTTACCATCTTATTCCGAGGATGCAATCGAAGATGCTAACGCTCTGCGTATGCCCCATCCGAGCAAGGTCCACGAGGAAGATCCCTTTCATGGTTGCAATGCTGGGATTGAAGATACCACCGACCTTAACGATGCTTCCACCATCTTTGAAGAGGCTCAACGTCTCCTTTCTCAGGTAAATATTGACTTTCAATGCTGTAATCTTTCTTTTCTTTCCTTTCCTTTGACTGACATATCTTCACTGCATGTATAGGCCATCGCCAAGTTTAGGACCGAGCTGAGCCAATGTGAGGCCGAGCTTAGGAAAGTTTTGGGCAAAGGAGAAGGCCCTGAG